TTTTTTTAAAAATTTTTAAAATTTTTATTTTTGCGGAAGCCCCCCATTTTAAATTTCCTTTTTTTTTTTTTTTTTTTTTTTTTTTTTTTTTAAAGTGCCCAAGCGCCTCTACAGCCGAGCTTTCCAGGTTTTCTGATGAATTTCTTGATTTCTAAATTTACATTTAAAACAAAATGGCTCCCTTTAAGTCTCCCCGAGTATGAAAATCTGAATATATAGTTTTCAGACATTTTCTTAAACATTTCAAGCTGGCAGAGTTTAAGCACCATGATTGATCCAGATTGAAAATGAAACCAAAATACAAGATGGTTCTTCAGGGTCTAATGAGTCAGTTTGCTTTTTTCACCTGGATCCGATCAGGGCTCGGGCAAAAACTGTTACACAATCAAATTTCTAATGGCCTGACATGAGATACTAATCAGAGAAATATGATGCTGTGGGGCATCGTAGTTTTGGCACGACAGGGCAGGAATGTACATCATGCCGTAGCAGGCATCACGGGCAGCCCTCCAGCAGCTCCTCATTCAGGGAGGCTCACATTTATAGTAGAGATGCTAAATCCGGACTGGCCTCGGCCCAGCAATGTCCTCCATTCAGGGACCCACAGATACAGCAAAGTGTCGGTTTCCTCACTGATAACCCAGATTCAGACGCAGGCCGCGTTTGAAAGGCGTCGGGAGGAACCAGCCGAGACCAAACGAAGAGATCAGAGGTAGGAAAAAAGAGGGCTTGGCTTGCAGAGCAGAGCTGGGATGGATTACGTTACACAACCATGAAGATCACAGCATGTTGGGTCACATTACTGTTAAATGCTGAAGCGGTTTTACGGTTTTCTCCATTGTGTGACAACTTATCAAAGGGCAATGTGAAACCAGGTGTACTCAATCGAGTGCAAAACGCTGAACAAGGACATAAAGACACCCAAGCAGCATCAACTTTCACTTTTATTTACCGCAATAAACGCGTTATTGTGAAAAGTTAGCTACAGATTGGAGGAGAAAGGATTAGGGGTGCACCAATCTACTGGAGGCGCCGACATGTGAAGCTGATCTCATCTACATCTGCAAAGGTATAAAAACCCAAACACTGTCCTCGTCTGCTGAGGAAGGTCTGACTGACTGACCGGCCACCGGGTCATGTCTGCACGTTTACAGTCAACCCAACAATGTTCTCGCTACATTTATGACGAAAAATAATTGGAATCTGCAGGTCAGGCTTTTTACAGATTGGTAATCGGACAAAAACTGCAATCAGTGCATCATAGTGAGGATGCGTTCACTTTGTTTTCGGTATTGTTCCATTTTGACTGGTTTTAGGAACCAGTTTTTCCTTCCACTGAATTATTTGAATAAGCAAAATCGAGCAAAACTAATTGTTTTAAAGAATCTGTAATTATACGATAAGTTCAGTCCAGGTTTTACCAGGCAAGTGGTTTTATTATGATTATGCCACACAATTAGAACAAAAGTTTCATAAATCTCAAAATGTATTCAGTCTAGAAATATGCAGTTCAGTTTTGACCACTGCTCCAAGTTTAGAGTTTGAACTTGAAATGATCCGATATGATACAGGGTCACCAGAAAACCAACAGAGAGGAAGTTTTAAAATCTGTGACAACTTCTGCGTTGCCAAAAGTGAGCTAGTCACGATATCATCAAAGAGCTGACCTGCATCTCAGCTCAAGAATTACTTCCTTTATCATTTCAAAATAAGAGTTTAAATGGTTTATAAATCCAGACAATGTTTCCATCTCCCTTTTTGCACATTAACTTTTTCAGAAAAACCAAAAAACAACCTCAAATACGTTTGGTTTCTTGAAGACTTTTAAGGTGGTTTTCAATAGTTCTCAACTACATAGCTGTAAGGTCATTTACCTGAACCTGACACCAGAAAACAGTTAAAACTGGACTCAAAATGAGTGGAAAAACAGCCAGGAAACAAAGAAAACCTAAACCACAAAATCAGTTTAAACTATCGTCTAGCGACTTGGAAGCAGAACCTGGACAAATCGAAGTCTGTTGGCCGGTCTCACCTCACAGCGTTGGCCACCGAACTCTGGCGGACATTCGCACACGAAGCCGTCCAGAACCACGTGGCACCTGCCGCCGTTCTGGCACGGCCCGCTCTCACATTTATTCCTCTGGATTTCGCAATGATTGCCGACAAAATCAGGAGGACATTGGCAGCGGTAGCCCCTCTGTCCCTTCTAAAAACAAAAAATTTAATAAAAATAAGCCAAAGTGTCAAATAAAATCTCTGCAAATTAAAAAAAAACAAAAAACAATCTTACCTTACAGGTTCCTCCATTCTGGCATCGACCGTGACAGCCATTGACGTCTGCAGAGATCGAAGATGACAAAGTTTACAAATTGAAAGCATTAAATTACTTGTTCATTAATTATTAGGTTACATCTGTAGTGCAGAGTGCGCAGATTTAGTTGAAGGCTGGAAATAGGAACATCTGAAGCCAAGCCAGTGACTCCAGTGTAGATCTGGGATAGGAAGGCAGCATGCAGATCGAGTTTGCCAAAGGAAGACTCAAACAGGTTACCACATGTGTGAAAGTAAAGCTAAGCTACACCCATGTTGGAAAAAAGAAGGAGCTGAAGTTCAGCAGGTGTCGTTATTGGGGAAAAAAAAGCGAAGTCACCGTACGAGTGACGCCGAGTTGAGGTAAAGAAATACTGACTGATGTCACAGTTTTGGCCCGACCATCCCCGGAAACAGTTGCAGTGATATCCACCAATGAGATTTTTGCAAGAGTTAGCGTTCACACAGGGCTGTCCTGCACATTCATTTGCATCTGTGAAGGCAGGAAGGCAGACGGAGTCCATCAATCGAAGGAAATTTAGAAACAGAGAGGAAGTGGATACAAGAGTTCAAGAGAAAAAAACAATGGAAGAACCAGAATGCAGTGGTTTGATTGGACCATTAATTGTGGCCTGTGTAATAAATGAAGGCTTAGTCAATTAGAAAGCAATCTGGACATTTTCACACTTGACACAGCAGGGTAGATGGGACTTTCCTGCTAATTTAGGGGAAGAGAGCAACTTCCCTCTGAATTATTGAGCTCGGCCCGTTGATATCTTAACACTGCTAATAAGCTCGTCTTGTGTTTTATTGCCGGCTGGAAATTATCCAGTAAACACTCAATGCAACCGTTGGAATATTTCAGATTGTGTAAAGTATCTCAGAGTTACGGTACTGCAAAGTTGGCTCACAGTCAAAAATAACTAAATTTTCCCCAAACTGGTGTTACAGATGTTCCACCTCTGGTTCCTAGAATCTGAAAATCTCAGCTCCGATTATTTAAAGGTGACTTTGAACAGGTTAGGAGAGGATATGGACAACAGAAAACATATTCATTATATATTTTTTTTTTGTTTTTACACAAATTCTTAAAACCAGTTGACCAAATGTGCTGGAGGTCAGTGTGAGTTGCTAGGCAACACACTGGGCTTTGCTGGGGTTGCCAGGCAACACACTGGGCCTCACTCAGGTTGCTAGGCGACGGGCAGAGCCTGCTGATTTGTGATGTTACATTCTGAAAGTTTTTCAAATGGCTTGTTTTCCAGACACCAAAATACAAACTTATTGCCAAAATAAGTTTTTGGGCCGTTTGTAGAAGTAGCAGTGACCAACTGGAAGCATAAAAACGCCCAAAATATGTGGAAAAACACTCCATGGTGTATGTCTATCCTTGAGGACTTATTATCTTTGTTACTAAAAAGAGAAGAAAAATGAATTGTAGTCATTTAACTTCATTATAGGACATTTTTTATGGTTATATAATTATACAATCTGAAAAATCACTTTTAGAAACTTATGTTGCTGGAATGATGGCAGAATGTTTTTGTGGATTTTAGATAAAAAACCTGCTGTAAAAAATTCTGATTTTTGGAGACTTGTTTTATTTTACTTGGAAATGTTCCTAATATTTTGCTGATGTCATCAGACAAACGGTTAATTGGGCAACTTTTTTTAAAACTCCATAAAATATTGTGCCATCTATTAACTTTCTTCTTTCAGCCTTCAGATTTGTTGATGTTTTCATCCAAACAATAATATAACGTACTTGGGAATAATTAAAATTCCTACATAAAATCTCAATTCCGTTTAAAAAACGAAAGGAACCTCAACTTAAAATACATTTGAGCTCAACTTGGTGAGCTTCTTGGTGCAAACAGTTTGCATGCAGAACACTTCATCACGTCTTCACTGCAACATAAACGAGTGGAAAAAATAGTTGCACAAACACGAAGAGATGGAGACTATGGGGGAGGCCATCAGCAGCACAATGTCCTGCAACACACACCTACACGGCTGTCCTCCCTGAAACCCAACACTGCACTCACAACAGGCTCCAGGTGAGACAGGAGCTCTATACCTGCCTGTAAGCCGAGACCAGCGCTTGTAAGGTGAGACCCAACACTTGGGATCTCTTTCCTGCCTGCACCTCCAGAGGCACATACAAGCACAACAACCTTGTTTACTGGTCGTCATACATTTCCTGGCTTGGCGCCGGTCACGTCCGCTTTTCGGACGGCGAGCGACGAAACCAGAGAGACAAACCACAACTTAGAAAGTCTTCAGCTTCCCTATTTAAGATACTAAATGTGTTCTAGGGATTACATTTTCCACACGAAATTTTAAAATATTGGTACATTTTTGGAACATTACAATTTTTTTTTTAATAAATACCGTTTGTAGCCGAGAATGAGGGAGCTTTAAATACTTTAAAAACAAATTCATACCAATAATTTTTGGTCTAGTTTCTTGAAAAACAAATTTACAAGCAACTTTTCTTCAAGATAAAAGGAGCTTGTTTAAAGGAAATTCCTTACAATTGATGAAAAAGTTCTACTTGAATTGGTGCCGTTACCTAGCAACGCCAAACAAGCCCAGGTCGTCGCCTAGCAACCGAGTCCTAGTTCTACTGGCAGATTATTGGACTTTGACACAAACTTCATCAATATTAAGGAATTATTGACTTAAAACCAGCTCCTATATCTTTCTGAAAAGTTACTTGAAAGTTAGTTTTCTCTTATTTCAAGTGAACCAAAATATTTGGACCAGAAATTAAACAAAAAACTTTGTTCTTCACTGCAAAAAACTAAAATCTTAAATCACACTAGCTGCTTCATTTTCTCATTTGATCTTCTGTACTACCTTGATATAAAAAGTGAATGCGTGAGAAACAAGTTTGTACATTTCAACCCATAAATCATGGCAGATAATGTAACACCAACGGATGATTCAGGAATGTCATGACGGCGCTACTCAACACGAACACTGAATTTTTACGCCATGATCATGCTGTCTATAATAAAAACTATAATATTTAGATAATTACATGGCAAAATGTGCAAGGTGTTAAAACTCCAGACGAATATACGGCGTCTTTTGAAGGCCTTTTAGCACAATTAGCATGAAGAACTAAAAGCAGAATTACTTTAAAAATGTAAAAATGATTAAAGGTCAGCGTACCTATGAGACATGTCTTCCCTTCCCACTGTGGGGAACACACACACTCGAATCCGTCCTCCCGGACGATACAGGTCCCACCGTGAAAACATGGATTGGACGCGCATTCATCCAAATCTAAAAAAAAAAATCAAAACTCTGCCAGTTAGCGACTGCTAAATGAGGCTGGACTCAGAAAAAAGGAGCCAAAGTGAAACGATAAAGTTACAGAGCAGTGTAGAAAGTTAAAAAAAAAAAAAAAAAACAAAACAGTGAAACGACTGACTTTTGTCGCAGGTCGGCCCCTTCCAGCCCGGCGGACACAAACATTCGTATCCTGTAGCGGCGTCACGACACGTCCCGCCGTTGGAGCAAGGATTGGAGCTGCAGGAAAGCTCGGCTGATCGCAGCAAAATATCACAGAAAAAGTCAATCCCAGAGCTTCAAACACCTTTTTATTATGTTGTTAGCTTTTGAAATTAATATTTTTATATAAAATAGAGCACAATTTCAAAACTGGAACTAAAAGTTGTTTAAAAAGCGACTTGCCTATCTCACAGTTTTTTCCAGAGTAGCCCAGCGGACAGGCGCAGTAGTACTGGTCGGGTTCGGCGTTCTTGCAGGTTCCTCCGTTGACGCACGGCTGGTGGCGGCCGCAGTAATTCAAATCTGTCAGAAAACAATTCAAACATTTTCAGAGAGAAAGCCTTTTCTGAGGAAAAAAGACAAAACATTAACCATTTGAATGCTGCTTCAAGTGAGAGCAAGATTTCCAATACATGGTTGTTACGAAAAATTTATTTTTTTAATATTTTGAATCCTGTCTTATTAATTTTTCTATTATAGCTCCTTAGATGAAATCTGACTGCACCAGTAAGATGAAACCTGAGGGAAAATAAAGCAAGAGTCTTCATTTTATCAACACAGCAGCTCTTCATCTTAAAGGTGTGATTCCTTTAACAGGTTAGGACAAAACATTTTCCAGAATGAGTTGTTTTAAGGCCGACTCAACGTTTACACTCACGTAAAAATGAAAACGTATGCAACAGTACATCCTTGAAAAGCAGAAGTGGAGCCTCCTGCACAACCAACAAGAATGCAGCAAGTGGTTTCTGACTAGCAAGCCAACAACAAAACACTTGTACTTTCCAGCAGCCATTATACAACTAAACAAAGGAGCTCAACTCGGGTTGCTAGGCAACAATGCAGTGCCTGGTGAATGTGACTAAAGCGGAAGATTTTTGAAACAGCTAATTTTCCAAACACCAAAAAACAATAAAAATATTTTTTTTGCAATAAGTAAAGTGCTCGGTCTGGTTCTAGAAGCAGTTGAGACCCATATGGAAGTATACAAATGTGCAAAATTATAATTTTGCATAATAGATCCCCTTTAAATTATGTTGAGAGGAAAAATATCTGTTTGATCTGCTGAACCGAGCTCATGAAGACGACTTTAAACTTTAACTTAACCAATCGAACAGATAAAAGCCGTTTACAACGCGACCAAATGCATCCATCCCACCATCTTAACGTTTAAGTGAAGCTTCAAGTCTGCAGTGTGTGTTTTGCTCTTTGCAGAGCTCTGTGCAGCCACCTCCATGTGTTACTTTTTCTGGGATTTCCCAGAAATCTCGTTGCAGGCTTCGCTCCGAATCGAGGACCAGCTGCCTGCGTTGGCAGGAGGTGTTTTCTCAGCCCCCTGCTGCTCCGCTTTATGACTAATTTTTCTGTATTTGCAGGCTGCAGACAGGTGGTTGAGAATTAGCAGCACAAACCAACCTCTTATTTGCACATATTAAAATAAATGGCTGCGCTTCTTTCCTGTTCTTTTAAATAAAATAAATCAACTGAAGCATTTCACAGGCTGAAACCAGGTTCCACCCAAAAAACCTGGTAAATAAATGAGCAGGAATCCGCCTCCACTGGGGATCTCAGGATCTGTCCTCATCCCCCGAAGAGCCGTCTGTGACGGAGGCATGAGGGGGGATCGGGTGATCCTGCCGCTGCTCAGATCTCAGACAGTAAAACTATCCAGCTTCTGGTTTCCAGATAGACGGAGACGCCACTGAAGATGAGGCAGACTTCATTTTAAACAACTTAATCTGGTGATAAATTACAGCTAAGATTAGAAGCTGAAAATGGTGCCGATTTTCTCTGATCAGATTTTTCCATTAATTTCTCTACAAACTAGTAAACAACTTTAGTAGACGTCTTTGTAAACTTCGTACACTTCGATAACATAAACAATTTTGTCATTTCATTCCTTTAACTGAA